CCTGCTTCTCCTCCTCCCCTCCCTCCTCCTCCTCCTCCTCCTCCTCCTCCTCCTCCTCCTCCTCCTCCTCCTCCTCCTCCTCCTCCTCCCTCCTGCTCCTGCTGCGGCGGGGCCCCCGGAGTTCGAAGGGGGCCTCGCTGGCGGCCAGCGCACCGCCCGCGCCCGCCCGCGCCCAGCGCGCGCTCCCGCTACGCGCAGGCGCGGCGCGCACGCGCTGGATTCGTCCTCTGCCTCCTCTGGCTCCTCCTCGCCCTCTGCCTCCTCCTCCTCCTCCTCCTCCTCCTCCTCCTCCTCCTCAACCTCCTCCCACTCCTCCGCCTCCTCCTCCTCCTCCTCCTCCTCCTCTTCCTTCCCCTTCTCCTTGGCGCTCCTCCTCCTGCGGCGCTCTGGTGCAGCGCCGTCGTCACCGCCTCGGCGTTTTCGTCTTCCCTCTGCTCCTCGGCCTCACCCGGCCCCGCTGGCACCGCCGCCGCCACCGCCTCCGCCTTTCTTCCTCCGTCGCCTCAGCGCTGGCGGGTGCCTGCCCCTGCGCCGCTGGGCCTCACCTGGACCCTGCCAGGGAGAGCGAGTCCTGACGGACGTAGGCGCTCGCTGTGCGCCAGGCGACCGTGACCTGCACGGCCATGCCGACCTGCTGCCACAGACCGGCCGCCAGCGCAGAGGCACGCGACTCGCCTCCGGCCATGACGGCCAGCATGCGCACGGTCGCCTGCGCGCTCTCGCCTGGGCGGCCCCCCAGCTCCAGCACGCACGGATCCTCGGCGCGTCGGCGCGGGCGCCTACCACGGCGACGTCAATGGCCACGCGTCTGCCATCGTAGTTGAACACGACGTCCAACACATCACCAGACTCGTCGGCAGCCGTTGCGTCCGCCAGGGCCGGCGCCCGCAGGCTCTCGAGCCGCTGCTCGCGTAGCGCGCGAGGGTCAATGTGACTCTTGACGAAGCGCCATAAGATGTCGCGAATCTCGTTGTGGCCCCCGACGACCTCGCCGCCAATCTTGCACCCCTCTGCGTGCACGAGACCCTCAAGGCCATCCAGCTGCGCCCCCCGCAAGCACCCCGTGTGCCGGAGTGGAGGCAATGCGTCTCCGTTTGCGCTGGAAAGACTACCTGTTCAACCGTGCACAGCAGGCGCCTGCGCAGCGCCATGCGCCAGGCTCCGTCCGCGATGGCCTGGTTGCCGGACTGGGGCACGCACAGGAAGCTGCCCGCTCCTGCGCCGCCTGCTTGCCGCAGCCGCGCCCGGTACGGTTCCGGGACACTGTCGAGGACATTCTCGCGCGCACGGAGGTTCACGGCGTCCATGATCATCCTCTGCATGCTCTTGTGGGGCTCGGCGGTGAAGTCCAGCTTCACGTCGCCAGCCAGCGCGGGCGCCCGGGCCCTCAAGTCAGCTCTCGCTTTGGCCAGCTCCGCCGCGAGCCCGGGGAAAGTTGCGCGCAGGCCCTGCTCTGTGTACAAGGGAGCCCCGGCGCACTGCCGCCAGAGGTGGCGACGCCATCCCGCGTGGAAGGCAGCAGACGCCCGCGGCGCGGCCAAGCCGAAGACGGCGCCGCCGTCGCGAAGCGGCATGTTGCCGATTGCGATCTGCTCTGGGGTCAGGTGGGCGCCGATCGGCCCACGCGTCCGCAACGGCGCTGTCGTAGGCCATGAGCGCCTGGTTGCTCCAGAGGCGCGAGCGGAGCAGGTGCTGAGGGGCCCCGACTGTGACGTACCGCAGAATCGCGCCCGCGACTTGGCAGCAGAGCCCGCGCTGTCGGGCGTCCTTAAGCGTGGCCGCCGTTTCGCGCACCAGCGCCGCCGCTTTCTGCATTCCCTGCTCGGAGTTGCCGAACCCTGCAGCCAAGTCGTCCTCGCGGTCGTGGTGGTAGAGAGTGCACCCTGACACGGGGAGGTCGGGCACCACGGCGTGGTGCAGCGTCGCCGGGAGAGTTTGCGCTGCCTCGGGCGAAGCCAACCAGACTTTCGTCTTCTCCGGCGCGAACTGCAAGCCCACCCGCGCGAGCTCCGTAGCCAGCACGTCGTACGAGGCCCCGAGGTTGGCAGCCGGCCCCGCGATGTACAGGTCGTCCGCGTACGCCACAAGACTCGTCCCAAGGCCTCGCTGGTGGAGCTCCTCTCTAGTGTCTTCGAACACGCCAGCCAAGGTCACGCAGAAGAGGAATGTGCTGAGTGGGCACCCTTGCGGCACGCCAGTACCCTGCTCGACCCAGATCGTGTCGCCGTCGGCTGTGTCGTAGGCGTTCTGGGTGGTGGCGGTGAGTAGCCGGTCTACCAAGGGGCTCATCCAAGGCGTGCGGGCCCGAACGGCCGCTTGGGCGGCTCTCCGGTGGACGGTGCCGTAGGCGTTCTTGATGTCCAGGCTGAGCACGCCCCTGGAGCTCCCTGACGCCGCGGCCAAGCTGAGCGCCTTGAACGCCGCGTCGGCGCCGCCGCCGCGCCCGAGCGCGAACTGCATGGAGCTGACGGCGTCCTGCACCTCCTGCCGCTTGCACCGGAGTAGGGCCCGTAACGCCAGCCTCCGGAGGAACGCGCCCACTGCGATAGGCCGAACGCCGCCGCTATGTTTCTGCAGCACGAACAGGGTCTGACGCGAGAAGATGTCGTCAAGCTCCTCCGGGGCCTCCCCGTCGAGCCACTGTTTCAAGGCGCTGGCAAGCAGGCGCTCAAAGTGTTCATCTCCCGACCCCACTTGCCAGTGCGTGGCCCGGCTCCCGTCTCGCCCTCCTCCTGCTCCTCCTCCTCCCTCCACCTCCTCCTCCTCCTCCTCCTCCTCCCTTCCTCCTCCTCCTCCTCCTCCTCCTCCTCCTCCTCCTCTTCCTCCTCCTCCTCCTCCTCCTCGTGCCGCGCGTGCGCGGCCGCGTGCTCTGTCGCTCTGCCGCTGCGCGGCTCCAGTCGCTGCCGCGCTTCGGCTGCGCGTCCGCGCGCACTGCCGCGGTGCGCCTGCGGAAGCGCAGCGCTCGCGCGCCCGCCAAGTCTGCGCGGCAGCGAGCGCGCGCCCCGCGCTCGGCAGGCGACTACAACTTCGACCCCCTGGGGATCTCGGAGCGATGCCCGCAGTACCTGCCCTGGTTCCGCGAGGCGGCCGAGGGGGCCCAGCGCCCCGCACTCGCGTCGTGGCGGAGCCACGACTGGAGGTTTTCTGCGTTGCGTTCGGCCCGGGGGGGGGGGCTCTGCTGGGCCCCCCGGGGTCTTTCAGGGAACGACCCGGGATGAGACGCTGGTCCCGGGGAAAGGTCCGAGGTCCAAGCAGCCAGGGGGCCACTCCGTGACAACAATCACGGCGTCGGGGAAGGTTGCGAGGGGGCGCTCGAGTGCGGCACCCTGGTCGAGGCCTGGGGGCAGGCCCTGACCCTGGTCTCCTCGCCAGCGAACCGCAGGACCCCGCCCCCTCCGTGCATCTGTCCCTCCGTCCCCTCCCCTCTCCTCCTCTGCCCTCTCCCTCCCTGTCCCTTCCTGACCTCCCTCCCTCAGTCGCTCTGCCCTTCCGTCTCTTCTGTCACTCCCTCCGTCCACCCCTTATGCCTCCTGTTCCCTTCCCTGGGCAGCTGTTGTTCTGTCCCGCCTTCTGAGACCCCGTGGCATCGCGTGGACGACCTCGAAGAGCCTTGCAGGAGGGCAAGGGTTCTTTTCCAAGCACCGACCACCTGCAAGACATTCCCCCCCCAAACGGACCCCCCCCCCAGTCGCCGCCCTCCCTGGGGCGCATGCAGTGCAGCTTGGGCAGCCCGAGGGCCTCGGTGGAGCTTCCTCTCGGGGATCGCGAGGGGCCAGGGCTGCCAGGGGAAAGGCTCTGTGACCCTGCCGTGCTGGGCTGCCAGTGGCCGCTGCTGCGGAGGGCGGCCCACCTCGGGAGCCTCTCGGCCGGAGTTCGCGGACGGTGTGCCGGGATCGTGGGGACACCTGCTGTGCACCAGCCCCGGCTTTGGCTGCGGCAGGTTCGTGTCGTGTCGATGCGGCTGCGACTGCAGTCGAGATCGGCAGTAAGGACGGGCAACCTTCCCACGAGGGTATCCTTGCATCCTTGCCTCCTCGGTCGTGTCGATGCGGCTGCGACTGCAGTCGAGATCGGCAGTAAGGACGGGCAACCTTCCCACGAGGGTAGCCTTGCATCCTTGCCTCCTCGGTCCATCCTTGGCCCCTCTCGATCGCCAGCCCCGCCCCAGAGGCTTCGACATGGGTGTCCAAGGGTCTCGCATCCTCGTCGCGCATCCTTGCTAATCAGTTTTTGGGAAGCCACGATCGCTGAGAATGGAGCGCTGCACACCGTGTCAGTAACCAACGCACAGGTCGTCACTATACTGCCGCAAGCTTCTGGGTTGTGCGCTCCACCTTGCCGTTGCGGGCCCCTTCCGTTGTGCAGTTTTTTTTCCCAACCAGCCTGGGTTGGGTTCTCGTTTGGAGTAGAGCGCTGCGGGCTCCGCGTTCCACCTCCCGCCTCCCTCCTCCCCTCCCCTCCCGCCTCCTGCTTGCTCTCCTGCCTCGCGCCTCGCCGTCCCGTCTGGGGGCATCCCTGGGGGGCCTGCGATTTGCGAAGCTGTCGCCACGAGGGCCAGCATCATCGGGCCCTATGCGGCGCGGACTCGTGTTCGACCTCGCCGTCCCCGAGGGGCTGCGCAGTGTGAATCTGTCGCCACTTTCGAGGGCTGCTGCGCCATTCCTGGGGGGCTGTGAAGTGTGAGCCTGTCGCCACATTCGAGCGCAGCTGTGGGGGCCAGTACAGTGCCAGGGTCCTACGGGAATTCAAATTAGACCTCGCCGTGCCTGGGGGGGCTGCGAAGTGTTAACCTGGCGTTGCTTTCGAGGTCCCCTGGGGGGTCCAGCATAGTCGGGTCCTACCCAAAGCTCGTATTGGACCTCGCAATGGCTGTGGGGCTGCGAAGTATAAACCTCTTGCCAACTTTCGAGGGCTGCAGGGGTGTCCAGCATAGTGGGGTCCTACCGCGGACTCAGATTCGACCTCGCCATCCCTGGTGGGCTGCGAACTGTGAACCTCTC